GACGTAGCCATACTCCCTCTGCATGTATTTTTTGCAATTGCTAACAGGTTTTGGTATATTTTAAACCCTTTGGGCACGATAACTGAAGCCATCGCTGTAGCGTCTTTCGGTCTCATGCAGCCGTATTGCTAGGCGAAGGCGTCCCATTGCAGCATTTGTTGATGTAATAATGCTGGCGTCTTTGGACCGGAGGCGGGTTTTGCCTGAGGCCAGTCGTAGAAGCTTGCATGAATCGGCGGGCCCCAGTAGCGGATGCGAACCCTTTGGTTTGCAGTGTTTTCTAGAAAAAGGAGCACAAATAAACCTGCGACTTTCAGGCAGCGCCAATTCCAGCTCATGCACATGGATAGACTCCTGGCATGAGGGCCTTGACACTCCAAAGTCACGACAACGAGAATTACAGTATGGTTTTGGGGCGTCATGGACATGTCAATAACACCCTCTACCCAACCACTAGAGGGAACTCGAACCCACACCCTTCGGCTCCGGAAACCGACGCCTTATCCATTGGGCCCCCAGGACGCCTACCTGTCCAACCGGACCAGCGTATACCCCTCCAATGTCACTCACCAACTCACCAAAATGACTGCAAGTCTATGGATGAGTGGGCGCAGGCACTAATTAAGCACCCGCGGCAACAATCCACCCACGATCTACTATGAAGGAAGGCGACTTCTTCACTAGGTGAGGCGAGACTAATGGTCTTGCGGCTGCTAACGGCCACACAACTGCCCCATACGCTCTGTACAGTCGCATTGCCTCGATAACACACTCACGATCTCATTCACTAAAACGCATTAATGCTGGGCATTGAGGTCATCGCTGTGCAAGAGACGACATGGATTGGTAAGGCTGTTGTGTTTCTAATGTACGGCCAAATGCAGTAAGACCGTAGCTGAGGCGAGGTGGTGCCGCAGTGCAAGGTGACGGGGAAGGGTGTCAAGGAAGTGAATAGAATGTGTATGTAAAAGGAGGAGGAGGAAGAGGTAAAGAGATGCGTGGTCACGGAGCTCAGTGTTCTAGGTGTATGATTCTGGG